TTAAGTTGGTGCCAGGGCTTGAATAGGCTGGCGGGCACTGCCAGGAGGGGGGTGTGAGCAGCCAGTGGGACCCAGCTTTGTGAGGGTCCCTTTTCAGAGGGCTGCAGTCCTGTGAAACTCAACGCAGCTCTGCGGAGAAAGTGGAAGCTTTTCAAATGTACACGCTGTGCTGCACTGCTCAGAGAGGCCAGGGCTCACATTCATTTATCCATTTTCCAACAGCTAAATTTCTTTATATTAATTACATGGAATCCACCAGTTTTGGCCAAAAAAAAGATGTATTTCTTTTAATACTGATCCTTTGCCTGTGTGGTGATCTATATCAATTTCAACATTTCTTCTCCTTGTAGAGAACTTAAAAACTGCAGGCATGGTAAAGGAAAAGAAAACAGTACAAATAAGTCAGCTTAAGTCTGGGATTAACTGTCTGAGGTCTTAAAATAAAGACTTCAGATGAACTACTCCGAGGCATAAGGGCTACCAGTGTGAGTGAGAGTGGCAAGCTGAGGCCATTTCATTGTCAGGAACATGGCATTTATTGCCCTGACACCTATATCATAAAATTAAGTTTACTTTAGAACTTATTCCATTTGAAATCCATGCTAAACGGTCAAGAGTGCCTTGAGAGGTCATGTTAAGGTGTCAGCGGGTTTTTTCCCCTCAACAGTTAGAAAAATAAGCCACCATTTTACATATTATTCATAAGTAAGATTGTGATAAACTATTTGTATCTACAGCTTCTCTCACAGAAAAGACAAAAATAAAATCAAGTCTCTCCTCTTCCAAATGAATTTGGCAATTAGCATTTATTTTAGAACTATTTTTGGGTATAGCGATGAAGCACATAATACTACTACAGCTGTGACATCAGTATAATAATATGGATATATTTATTCAAAATAAGATATCAGGCCTAGGGGGCAGAGCTGGAAAATACCTAAAATAGCATTTCCTTGGTCACTGATTGCTGATGGAACTTGTGACAACCCCATGACTATGTTGGTGTTTGCACTGATCAAAAAATACTACTTGTATTAATATTTTGATCTCCACACTGTCAGCACCAACTGTTGTAGTTGGTTTCCTTTAAAATGCTCTCTACACCTTCCCTAAAGGCCCAATGCAATTCTCCTTTTTCACAATTGTATCAGTCTTCTAAAATGAAATTTTAAATGAGCCTTCATGTTTGCTTCAGTGAAAACACAAATAAAAAGTTGGACTTGCATTATGTCTTCCTGAGAAGATTCTGTCAGCAGTTAAATTAGTTGCCTTGAGCAGCCATGCTAATTAGAGGAAAAATAATAAAATTATAAATGGCTTCCAAAACAAGAAATTGTTAATTATTTAGGGAAGTAGAAAAATCATTCAGAAGTGAGTACTTGGTTATTTAAACATTTGGGTTTTTTTCATTTTGTCAGCAGTCTGTGCTTGTAATTAAGACATTACTGCTCTCAAGGAAATGCCTTAGTATTATTTCTTGAGCATGGTACGTACAGTGGGTCTGTAATCTATATCAATAATCGTTTATGTGCTTTTTTTGAAAGCAACTCTAATCCTGAACATAATTTTATGCAGAAAAATAAAGTAACTACATCAATACAATGTTGTCCTCAGTTTAAAAACAAAACCAACCACAATAAGATAATGTGTAAATGTGAATGTAATACCCTGCTTTTTATTTACAGCTGGTAAATTTTAATTTGAGTTAAACACATGTTAATTAAAACACATGTTAATTAAAACACATTTCACCAGTTACTTATAAAATTAAGCACTATTTTGTTTGATGTTGGTGGAAACAGGAAATTTGGAGTGATGTCTACTGCTACAGCTGTTTGCAGTCCTTATATAACACCAGATGTGAGACTGATGTATCTGCATTTTGTCCTCTCCTGTGAATTGCAAGTGATCAAACAGGCAAAAACATAATGACAGGATGATTGGACAAGTTTAACATGAAGGGAATTGTTCAAGACATTCATAAATCACTGCACAACCACACACACAGTGAAGGAAAATTTACTGTAATGTCACAGATAAGCAAAACCATTTATATCTACAATGAATTTCAAATACAAGTGCATTAATTGCAGAAAATGTCTTTGAAGTATCTTAACTGATAGTCTTTTGCAAGGTGTAATACTAAAAAACAGATGAAACTAGATGTGAGCATTTTATAAAACCTGGGTGTGACAAACCAATAATGTAAAAACAAGCATAATTTTCTGCAGATTTATTTTTGTTATTAAATTATCCTCAGATAAATGAGCTCTGCTATGAAATACAGATGCTAGAAAGAGTAATCATGTATTTAAATGTAGCTGTATTGCAAAATGAGTGTGCTGGTAAAAGCTGCTAAAGCATCAGCCATACTTTGCTTTTTCTGTTGCTAGAGCCAATCTGCGAATGTTTGCTATGCAACCAGCTGCTGCCTCCTGCAGAGTTTCATCTGTAGAGCCTACCATAGCCAGTAGGAGCTAGCAAAAATACAAAAGAGAAACAGGATAAGAAAACCAAATAAGTATGCTATTATTTAAATAATATTCAAATCATATCTAGAACAATTGCAGGAATTTACCCACACAAAAAATAAACACTAAAAATCATATTACAACACTGTAGTATACTTATACACGCATACTTCTGTACACATATATATATTAACATACATACAGAGCACAATGCTTTATATTTTATCATATTTGTACCTGTGAACTGATATTTTCATGTCTGATTTTCTGTTTACTATATCATGCCTGTCTACTGATTGTGACTTGGATTTTTTCTTGTAAGTAGAAATTGCATATGCTTTATTTGAAATCATGGTTTCCCCCCCAAGGTATACTAGTATATTTGTACATGTTCAAGATTTTTAATAACCAAAGCCACGCTGTTTTTTTTTTTTGCCTTGATCATGAAACTGGATTCATGTGAATGGACCCTTGTGTCCCATTGACTGCAGTAAGTTTCTTTATTGTCACAGCAAACCATTGACGTTAAAGTGCTTGAGGGATACAGATCTGGGCATATCAGTCTTAAACATTTGCATTTAAAAGTACAAAATAAAAGCTCAAGAAAGGCGCCAAACTTTTGGAGCTGATTCAGCTTTTCAGTCGTGGAGTAAATCCTTTACTCTGGAAGTCATTCAATTTTTTCAGTGGAAATTCCCTTGGAGTAAGGTACTGTTCAACACAAGTATGACATAAGACAGGCCTTGATGATAAAACATTTTTACAAATCACTTCTTCAGTGTGTTGCAAATCAGTGATGCAACTGCAAATGTAATATATGCTAGAAAACAGAAGACTCTTGCTTAGCTTAAATCAGCTCCATGCAACCCTCAGATTTCTGAAAAACTGCCAAGCTTAATGTGCGTTCAGGTATTTTGAAGCTCAGACAGCTCTAATTAAAACCTGTATTTTCAGTTTGCAATACTTAGGATTTTGTGTTCACCCAAACAATGTTGAGTCAAACCACAGAGAAATCTGTTATCACTCAACTCCGGTGCATATTTTTCATACAGCTAAAATATTACACAAAATTATGAACTGCTAAATATAAAAGTATAAATTGAATGCAGACATCACATTCGTATGCTACCTTTTTCTAACCTTCCAGCAATCATGAGGCATGGGTCACAGCTGCACACATATGGCATTTTCTCAGAGAGATCAAAGCATTTTATACTTGAGGAAGTATTTGTGTTAGCCAAATGTACAAAACAAGCATCTTGCCAGTCACCTTTCACCCTTTGACCCCTACATGTAATTTGTAAGAGTGCCTGCGATAGGCCTGAATTACGTCAAAAAGAGTATTACGTAAGTTAAGCATCAATGATAAATTTTTCTAGCAATTCTTCTTCCTATAATTTCCACTACTATAACCAGATGTCTATGTTCAAGTAGCTAGATAAGAATTCTTGAAGTATGAGCACTCCTGAAAAGATATGCCAGAGTTAAAATGACATGAGAAGAAATGATATGGGAAAGCTTTATGTTCTTACACTTTATTTGCATGCAAAAACTGGGCCAGGGTCAGCAACCAGAGAAGTCAGTAGAAGTTTCACCACTGACTTCAACTGGAAGCAAGAGCAAGGAGCACATCTCTGTGTAATGATAAAGCTGCTCTACAAAGCAGAAAGGCCAGAATGCAAGTCTTATCAGATGCTTAACTTCTCTTTTTTCTTAAGAAATATTGCTGGATGAAGATCGTTCTTCCGTGCTATTTTCCACCAGCTGATTTCTTATCAGCATAAACTATAAAGTGTTTGTTTGGGTGCCTCACAACTTGCTTGTATAACTTACAGAGGAACACTGGTATAGATCCTTCATAACCCTGACTGAAAACCAAAAAATCTGTATGCACATACTGTCCATATGGTGGTTTTGGTAAAGCCGTAAGTTTCAAATTTGGAGGCAAGGAAACTATATGCCTTATGTGATTATTCACTGCATCTTCACAGATCTAATGCAAGACTTTTTCAGCAAAGTGAGTGCGGAAATCAAATTTTCATTGTAATTTCAGCATAAGACTTGTTATCAATGCATAAGAGCAGAAGTTCATCACAAAATAACATTTTGGAGACACATTATCCAGTAGAAATATAGCAAAAAGCAAAAATAGACCTTTGCCTTTATTATGACTACATGTTAGGTAGGACTCAATTCAAGGTTATTAATTTCTTTTAGCCACCACTTCTTCCTAGGCTCAGAAGACTTAGGAAAATACGTATTTTTTCTGTCACTTTCCATGGACAGCTCAACGTTAAGCAATGACAATGGCTGTAGGGGGGGGTCAGTGCTCTTTGTTGCAACTGCATTTTTGAAAATCAGGGTTAGGTATCAAACAGCATACTACATGACACTGGTTCAAAGTACCTGAACAGATGCCTAAAGAATTAGTGGTACTAATGCAATCAATGCAAACAGCAATTTTTATAAAGGTATCAAATACTGATTTTTTTCCTTTTGAGTTCAGGGGATCAAGAATCAGTTGCTCTCTAATTTGTTGTTCTTCTAAATCACTTGCCAGTGGTAACATCTGTAAGAACTGCCACGTCATACAAAATCCTCTGCTACACTGTTTCTCAGGATTTTCACAATACGACTTCAAAGAAATATTCTTGGAAACACAGTCCAATACAGTAGCTGCCTCTAAGGACTGAGGATATACAGCAACATTTGTCAGTTAACCTATTTGTTTTGTGCTACGAAAAAGACAGCTGAAGAGAAGATTATCGAAAATACAAAATATTTCAATATAAGTAGGTAATTCCATATTTAGGAATCTAACTTTGAAGATTTTGATATAAATCCTGCCTTAAATGAAATAAAATTTTGTTCTTTTTGTATATACCAAGAAAGTTATAATTCTTTCACTTCCTGACTGCTACTCCTTGACCTTTTCATGAGTTCAGTTCAATTTACTGGCAATTTGAGTTGTCCAATTCAGGTATGGAAATGTATTCATAGACAGTATACACAGACTATACTCACATATTATATATATTTGACAAGTCCAAGAAATCTTTTTTTTATTCCAATGCACCAGTGCAATATAACATGTCCTTCTTCTTGATGCAACGCCCTTGAACTTCATGTATCCCTTCCCTTTACTGTTCAGGTATTGTTTTCTGACACATGTAAATGTTAACAGATGTGAGAAGCAGTAAAAAAGCATGTGGTATAAATGCTTCTTTCTGGCACATAAGAGGCACTTTCCATAGACAGAGAAAGCATTTGCAGAACTATGTAGCCTTCATTTTCTGCTGGCAGGTATCTATACTCTAAGGCAAGAGTCCAAAATTTTTTGCACAGTTAGCACGTCATACCAGCAAATAAGCACAAATACAAGCTGTTTGGAGAACGTACAGAGCATATGTAGCATTTCTGGGTTCCAAAAGCAAGAGCAATGCACAGCCAAATCATTTAAATACTCAGAACAATTAAGATTTTGCTATTACTATCCCAGCTTTAAAATAGCACAGAATTGTGATACTATATTAGGATTGCACAATCATAGAATAATTCATAATGGAAGGGATCTCAGGAGGTCTCTAGTCCAATGTCATGCTCAAAGCAGAGAATCAGCTCTGAGGTTAGATCAGGTTGCTCAGTTTTATCCAGCCTGATCTTGAAAACCTCCAAGGATGGAAATGGCACAACCTCTTTGGGCAACCTATTGCAGTGTTTGACTGTCCTCATAGAGAAAAAGGATTTCCCTGCATTCAGTTACTCTCGTTTCAGTTTTATGCCTGTTGTCTCTCATCCTCTTGCCATGCATCACTGTGAAAAGTGTAGCTCCATCTTTTTGATGACTGACCTCCTTCTAGGTACTGGAAGGCTGCTATTGAGTCCACTTGAAGCTCTCTCTTTTCCAGGCTGAAAAAGCCCAGTTTCCTCAGTTTCTCCTCACAGGGCAAGTGCTCCAGCTCTTGACCATCCTGGTGGTCCTCTGATGAACATATTGTGGTTTATCCATATCTTTCCCATACCAGAGGCCAAAGCTTGGTGCAGTATTCTAGGTGTGATCTGATGAGTATTAAGGGGAACAATCACTTCCCTCAATCTACTGGCTGTGCTCCTGCTCATACAGCCCAGTATTGTGTCTTCTTTGCTGTCAGGACACATTGCCAGCTAATGTTCTGCTTGCTGTCTCCCAAAACCTCCATACCCTTTTCAGTAAAACTGCTCCTTGGCCAGTCAGTCCTTAGCCTGTACCACTGCAAGGGCAAGTGGAAGTCCTTCTCAGGTGTAGGACTTTACATTTGTCCTTACTGAATTTCATAATGTTCCTGTAGGCCCTCTCCAGCCCTGCCTAGGTACCTCTGAATGGCAGCCCTTCCCTTGACTGTATCGAAATCCCCGTGCATCAACTGGCAATTTGGCGTCATTGCAAACTGTATGACTAAGCAGTCCATTGCCTTCCCCAGGTCACTGACAAACATGCTAAATGGCATGGGTCCCAACCGAGAGAGCCCTTCGGCACTCCCCTTGTCACCAGCCTACAGGTAGAGCACAATGCATTAATTACTACCCTCTGAGCTGGAGCATCCAACTAGTTTTAATCCATTTGGTTGTTCACACATCTAGACTATAATTCACTGTAACTTGGACAGAAGTATGGTGTGGGAAACAGTGTTGAAAACCTTGCTAAAGCCAAGGTAAATGACATCCACTGCTCTCCTCTAATCTACAAACTTAGACACATAGACAGCAATCAGGTTTACCTTTGGTTAATCTAAGTTGACTGTTCCCAATCACCTTCTTCTTGTGCCCAGAAATGAGTTCTAAAAGGACTCCCTCTGTAATTACCCCAGACACCAACGTGAGGCTGACCAGTGTGTAGTGCCCCAGAGCAGGAGGAGGAATTGTTGTTCTGAAGACATGCTTTGCAAACTCTTAACTGTTGGGTCATATGCCCTCTGGCATACCAAAGGTGTAACAAACACGGAAAGTCTTTTGTTCCTCAGGGCAGT